GTGGTCCTCGAGGCAAACGAAGCTAAACTGAAAGTGACTACGGACCACCGTGTTGTGCTGGCCTCTGGTCACCTTGCACCTCTTCTGAAATCATCTGGAGCTTGTAGAATCTGTACAGTCGGTAGAGCAACTACTGTAACCAGGTGAACGTGACCTGTCTATATATCTATTTATCCTTGTAACATTTTCAGACTACGAATCGATTGCCTCGATCTCTTTGCAGGTATCCGCTGCGCAGCTGAAAGTGGGAGATGAGGTTGTGGTTGACGGTGTTCCCACGAAGCTGACTTCGGTGGACTTCATCCTAGGCGAAGTGCGGGTTTTGAAGATCACCTTCCAGCCGGACGAGCCAGTGGCGGTGTTTCATCAGCCAGACCTCCCAGTGGCAGTGTCGCAGCCATCTATCCATAGCCATGGCCATAAGCCCAAGAAGATTCGCCGTGGTGGGAAGCATTATCACACGGTCAAGGAAGCAGCAGATGCCTGGAGTATCCCTGACACCCAGGGCTATTATTCTGATTGCAACTTGACTGCCATTCCGATGTTTGTCACACACGTCTTGACTGCGTCAGAACAACTTCAAACAGTTGCAGTGATGGGTTGTTGAACAAGGGCTTGTAATTAATGACAGCAGTGGGCGGTAGAACTCAGTGATCAGTGATTGTGGGGTTGTGCATCTGTCAGCCAGCATGCAATCAAGGAAAGGAGCCGCAGAAGATTGGATGAATTGGAGCTCGAGTTGACGACGCTGAGCGCACTCCTCACCATGCAAATTAACGCAGATGCAATTGCGGTCATTGGCAATCATCAGCAATTATATTGGGCGCAACGTCCATCTGGCACACAGAATGTTAGATTCTCCTCAAACAGGTATGGGCACCCGTGAACCTTGTACTGTGGATTTGTGCGAAGACTTCTACGTGCGAACACGTGCCCTTTCCAAATCCTACTTAGTAAGGTATTTGACCTTCAGGCACTAAACAGGGTCAATGTTTGGAAAGGAATTTGAGACCACCCCCAATCTATTTGTATGGGGGAATGAAGGCTTCTATGAGGTTGAGGAGTGCAAATGTGCACAGGCACCGCCAAAGAGCCATGCCTGTTGGCTAGCAGCTAACGTACGTTCAGTTTTGACCGCCGGTGTTCTTAGCACGCACCTTAACATCAGCATTTCCTTGCGAGCATCCTGAGACTGATGGAACGAGAGGGCCAATTAGTGAAGTCTTTTGCTACTAGTAGCCTAGTAGCCTAGTAGCTACTAGTAGCTACTGTTTATCTTCAATTTCAATGGGGAGACAAGGGAATCCAGTGCACGGTTAACACCTTGAACAGATTGGAAGGCACTTAAAGGGACCTACTGTAGGGGTTCAAAGGGTTCTGAGCTGAAGTTCGGGTTGTGGTGCTGCCATCGGCTTTGGGAGCTCCGTTTGGAAGAGGAAGCATTTGAGCTCCACCTGAGCCTTGAGTCAGGAACAGCAGCAGGGGTTGGCCTGTTGGGATCGTTTCTCAATTGTTTTTAAACTAGGGTTTAACATGTCTATTTCCACGACTTTGCTTTGACTTTTTTGTCGGACAAGTGTATTCTTGTAAATAAGACTGTTGAGGACAATGTGACGTCTAGCTCAGGTGGACTGTTTTGGCCGCGAAAGGGTGGCAACCGGTTTATTGCATGTAATCTGAACCTGATGTGCATTTTGTGAGCAGCCCTCACGCAATACCGGCTCACAAGGAGGAACGTTTGAAGCCTTGGAGTTGGTGGGGCCCTTCGTGAAATACCGTGATACATTAAATTGAGCTTGAACGATTTGTTTTTCTTGGTCACTGGGTCCTTTTCATTTCTTTCCTTTGGCTCTCTCTCGTTGTAGTATGTCACAGTCATGGTGACGCCTTCAGTGCTCTGCCTGACCACATTCTTCCCGCCTTGTCGTGTGGACAAAAAAGAAAGAAGCAAGCATGATGGTGACAGGTTCTGCCTTCGCTTCTTGCAGTTCTGGTCTTAGACTGTTTCATTATGTTTGAGACACAGTTACCCTGGAGCTTGCCATGGATCGAAAAACAGTTTATTTTCTGAAAAAAATATGAATCTGATGAATTCCTGAAATATGAAATGAGAAAACCAACTTTCGGAGAATACAAGAAAAATATGAAAAACATATGTTTTTTTTATATTATTTTCATATTTTTCTCTATTGTCATATTATTTTCATATGTTTTTCATATTATTTTCATATTTTTTTCATAAACATATAAACAACCATATTTTTTCTACATTGTCAATTTCATAGTTTTTCATATTTTTTTCATAAAAAAACTAAATCCAAGAATCCCTATCCTCCAGGGATACATATGTCTCAACATTATGTTTGATTCGTGGCTAGGTTTTCACCTGCAGAGCCTTTGTGAATGTATTTTCGACCTGGTCGATGCATGTCGCCCCCTTTTGCCTCGTTAACAGACTGGGCCATCGGGCCATCCCCCAAACCGTTCACTCCGTCCATCGGGTCCGTTCACTCCGATCACTTCGTCCACTTCGCCAGGCCACCGGTGACACGACGTGACCAGCGATGCCGAGTTCACATGGGTCTGATGGAAAGGTGCGAACCGGACAGGGAGCGATCGGCAATGCTGCGAATGGCGGCGGTATAGCCCGAGGCATTTCACGATGTGTTTTTTTGAAAAGAATGATCATGAGATGATGCTTGTTGTCTTGCAAGCATCTGATAGAGCGATAGGTTTCACAGCATGGGCCAGAATAGCGTGCTCCACCCGGTCTGTAGCCAAATGTTGTCGGTCTCACAAGAACAAGAACTGAACACACCATATAACGACGCAATTTTAAGAATACATTCATTTGGAGCTCCATTTGTTGACAATCCATGGATACAGAGATTTGCCCTCCTAGGACCCAGCATCCTTCTGCCAACAGATCCACAATTAGTCTAGCAATTGGAGTTCATGGCGGATATATGCCATGCCATGGGGTGATTCTGCTCCATTCCAACGTCAGAGTGACCTCCGAGCCGAACGCGTCGCCGAGCCCGAGCCCGAGCTGGTCCGGTCGGTCAGCGAGGCGAGGCGCGCACTGCTGGGAGCCTGCTGGGCTGAATGCTTGGTGCCCGGGATGATCATGGATGATCTGAAGGAACAGGCAGAGCAGCCACGACTGTTTGGTTTGTTAGCTCATGTTTTTGGAGCTTGGGTTGGGAGCTAAAATTGCTCTCAACTTGTAATGAAGCACGTTTGTTTTTGGATCTTTTAGCTTCTTAAAGAGCTTCTCTTTTGGAGAAGGGCGGACAGCTATATTATGTTCTACGGGGTCTCGAGCATTCCGAAGAAGCGACACCAATCAATCGCAAAATCCTTCATGCGGGTAGGACTCTTCAGAATTGTTTGTCGCGGTATTAGACCAGTCACTGTATAGTCCTACAGTCCAAATCAGCTTTGAAGCCAGGAGTGTAGAGGAGTTGTCGGAGTCATTTTGGGCCTTAAGTACATTCTTAATTCTTTTGGAGTTTGTCAATGCTGTACATAGCGTTACCGCACACACCGAGCCAGCCATGAGGCAGGTTTTTGTTTGGGTGGATCCCACTAATAAGTCAAATGGCTCGCGTGGTACTTCTGTGGAACACATCCTGCGGCAACGGTAGCAACTTCGCCTTGGAATGAGCTTCGTGAGGTGAGGGAGTATCAAATCTCCTCATATGCGGGGCAAAAGACATCAAAAGACATGGAAAGACCAGTTATTTTTTTTGAAACATGTCTATGGATCGATGACAGTCCCTGATGTGTAGAAGGGGATGGTGAGAACCAGTTTTGTTGATCAACACATATCAACAAAATCACAAAGTCTTTTTCTTTTAAAGTGCCTCAACGTATCGAACCGCAAGGAATCAAGGTTTCAAGGCCGGGGTATCTTGCGTTTTTCTTCATCCGGGTCGGGGTGGTGCAAATCCGCTTCATTTGAGGCGCTATAGGTGGATCTCTTTCGAAGATGGGCCCGAGACCCGGGGAGATGCGGGGTTTCGCTAGGTGGAGGTGAGCCGTGGCAGTTCTCACCTGTGCAGTGCTGTTTTGGAGATTCTGAACAGAGTCCATGTAATTATTACATACATGCTTAAGTTGAATCGCATAGCCATATAGGAACGCTTTCAGTGCACCCTTGAAGGGACACCAGGATTTGTCGATTTTGTTTACAAAACGAGCGTGAACAGTACATGGAACCCGGGTCGAGATGCTTAGAGAACCGCGCGGGGCTTTTCTTGGGAGATGCGAGTTGAGCATTGGACCTGAGAGCAAGACACCGGCTGTTGTTGACCCCAGCTCTCATGGAGCCTCGATCGTTTCAAAGTGCTTTGAGCTGAGGCGTTAGCTGAGCCAAGGCTGCACAGCTGAGTTTGCCTGAGCCTCGAGTTGGTAATTTGCTGAACTGATGGTGAACTTGCATCACGCCTTGACCACTTGTTGTCCAAACACTGTCAAAGTCATTTGTTTGGGGACCTTGGGAGAGTCTGAGATGGTCGTCCTTCGTTTACAGGGCTGATGCCGTTGTTTGCTGTTGGGACAACTTTACAACTTTTCAAGCACACCTTTTTTAACAAGGTCGGATAGATCAAGGACTGTCTGTTGGGTCTGCAGCTGGCTTCACTTCGTCACCCACTTCTATAGGACTCCATAGGGCACCCTGACCTATACAATCCCACTGGTGCTATCCAGCTTCTGCTTTCATCCAGAAGAGCGCATCGTTGAACCTAAACTCGAGCCATCAGATGTGGTGGTATAGTGGGCGGCCATTTCCGTTTCAACCTCGATTTGCTGGAACCAAGTCCAACATGACATGAATCTTCAACACACTGTATACGTGCCGTTTGACCCTGTGCCTCTTGTTCTCATAGGACCTTCCAGAAGAGCAACCAGCTTGACAGGACCCAAGAGAGGACCACGCTCCCCTACAACCTAGACTGAAATAGTGCCAAAAGATACTTCAATTCGCGATCCGATCGTAAGACATGTATTGATCCCATCCCAACCCCATGGTGGCATGTGTTTTTCTCCAGGTCCCAGGATTCCACTCGCCGATCTGTCTGAGGCCCACCAGTCGCTTCGATGGACCTTCTGGCGGCCGTCTTGGAGGCTCCCACGGTCTGAGGACCTCGGCTTTGTGACTTGAAACGAACGAACTGAAGGGAATGACAAATACTACCGGATTCCTAGCGTACCAAATTTAATAAGTTCTTCACATGACAGCAGGCTGGAGACTTTCGGAATGACCATGCCACTGTTGCCCGGCGCCAGCCTTCCAAGGTTTGTCTCACTTTTAGGCCAGGTCGTCGTTTTTCGGTTCGAAAAGCTTGCGCCTTCGTCTGTTTGGCAGCCATAAAGAGCTCCTCGATCCAGAACGGTGCAAGATCACCCATCTGGGCCACCAGAATCTTCTCATGGTACGGTCTCGTCGAAGTCGGATTCCTCACGTGACTTGGTGTTGACCTGGCTGCACTGTTGGAAGGTGAACAGTTTGAGGCATTAAGCGGGTTGTGAGGAATGGAACTGATCATTGGGTGGTTTTAATTTGCCCAAATGGGGTGCGACACACCAAACAATTCCTTTGTTTAAGGGTGTTTAAGGAAGTTCCGTAAATCGATGTCAAAACGGTTTTGCTTTTGCCGCTGTGTCCGCCCGGGTGCCGCCCACCTTTTCTGCCGCCCTCCCCTTTTTTGTGGAAAATCCGTCTCCGAGGACGAACGGGAACGATTTCATCGGCAATGGCGTGAACTGAGCGACCGGTACGGGCTCCGCTGGATCGATGCGGAAGGGCGTTGTTCGTGGACCGCGTTGGATGGGCCCCGGAGAGTCGAAGACGTGGAGCGCTGGATCGGCGCCATCACCGG